TATAAATATTAACTTTATATATAAATAAATTTCTCTTTCCTTCTCAAATTATATTCTTTGTTCCTTCTTCGAAGTTACTCCCTATATTCCAGAACCAATAGGAGAGAGCCGTCTTAAACAAGGCGGCCCAATTCCTTGGGGACCAAGGCCTAAGGGCTTCAAAAGTCCATGTCGTGTATGGTAAGTTCAGAAAGAATCGCCTACTTGCGTAATGACTACGCGGTCCCCCTTTTTTGGGATATGGTTGGCATAGCTGTGGCCAAATTCACGCCCACAGTCCATTTCCAAACCGCCTCTTTTTCTTTTTCATTTTTTTTTAATGAGCTAATAATCTAGTACGGACTTGCCACGTGAATGCATATCAACCGTCGATCTTCTTGGTAGACTTTCCTTATGTCCGTCGATCCCGCGAAAACCCGCTATATATACCTCTCCTTCTCCCGAGAGTTCCATCCAACCCTCTAATATTTTCTCGTTCTTTTCTCTTTGCCTCTAGATTTCTGCAGATCTATTACTCATGTCTTCTTCTTCGCCGATTCTGTTAGCTGAATCAATCAGGTCGTCCGACGATCTACCTAATGAGGTTGGATTCAGGTCGGTGTGGTCTTCTTCGTTCTTTGATCCGCGTCTTCTTCTGTAATTTTGCGCAAGTGTTGGATTCATATTTTTCAAGTTAGATCTGCTATGATTTCCTGTAGTCTTGAACGGTATGCGTTCTTTAGCTTTTCCATCAGATTCGGATATCTTTTACTATGATTTGTTATGTATTTAATCAAATTGTTGAACTTCTAATTTAGTTACTTCTTTTAGGGATTAGGAATTAGGAATTAGGAATTGTAGTTTTTTTTTTTTTTTTTTTTTTTTTTTTTTGTGCTAAGTTTGGCTAAATTTTACTCAATAATTATTAGGGAGGAATAATCTTTCGAATCCTTGTGGCTATGAGAATCAACAGCCTTCTTTGGAGATCGGTCTGCTCAGGGAAGATGCTGATGAGCTTTGTAATATATGGTGTATCGGGATGATCCATGGAGGCTTTTGGTATCTCTGATATGTTGTTGTGGTAATCTGTTTAGTGGATGTGTAAGATGTCAGGACAAAATGGCCTAATTCAGGGGGCTGAGTCCTGTTCTATCTTTGTCATCCCGACCTTTGCCATGACAGGTGCGCTTGCATGGCAGGTCACCATATCTTAATAAAATTTATCTTTTTTGGGTTTGGGGGGAGATCGCATGGGGTTTTGCCCAGGTTCTCCCCTCTGGTGTGCCGTGTCCTGCTCCCTTACTTTTTTATTTTCGTTTTACTTTCACACTATACCTGCTACCATTGGCTCCCGTGATTCCGGTCTACCATTGAAGATGGATATATGACTACGTCACTTGATTTGATTTACATCGTCGGAATACCTCATGATCACCAAGATAATAGGTCAACTCTGATCTACGACGCTCAGGTATTCTTTCCATATTTTATAGGTTTTAGCTTTCAGTTCATTTTGCTAAATTCATAGAAGTACCCCAAATATGATCTATAATCACTAGTAAATTTACAAACAACATTTAACATGGTTATAAATTTGATTTTCCTAATATTCATCTAACCTTAATTTTTTTAAAACTTGGTTTCATTTTTTAAACAAATGAATAAGATTTATTGCCAATATCTTAGCATTTGTAGATATTGTGATTTGGTCATAATATATACTGATATTTAAAATAAAACCAAACTTGTTTTAGGTAGTATTCTTTTATTTCCAAACCTTCGGACATTTAATTTCCAATTTTAATATTTAGACGTGATTATCCATCGTAATTAGTTTCAACCTTAACATTAATAATGAAATTCTTGAGACCAACATTGTTGGTATTTGGAGTAGTGTAGAGGAACTTACCATTTTTTTATAGATTTATTGACTAAATGCAACTTCAATTGGTTAATTGGATAGCTGGTAAGATTTCTTATTTTAAGAGAAACCCATTAAAAAATTGGTTTGCATTGAAGTTTTTGCGGGCGAAATATTGATAGTTATTCTTCAAATTTCACTTTTGCAGTATTATTTGTCGCAATTTATAATTGAAGTTAATTATTATTGGAGTGCATACTCCATTTTCAATTTGTCACTTATTTTGATTACACAGGCTAAAGAACTTACTGTTTTGCAATTGCTTCTTTTAGTTTCCCAATATATTCGGTCTTGAAAAGCAATTATGTTACGTACTTTATATATATATATATATTGTTGCAGTTATATGTCAGGACCACGAAAATTTCAAGTTGTACATTTATAGGTGTTAGCTATATGTTTGAGGGTTAGATAGATATCGTATGTATTTCGCTTGTATATTGTGCTTTGTAGTTGTTGAGCCCCTTGTATGGGCTTCCACTATTTTAATCTGTTTGAAGGCTGAAGTGTTTGGACTAACATGAAGATGTGGTGGAAGTTCAAGCTGGCACTGGGCTTTGGGGATTCTGACCTTTTGAAGGATGATTCTTTCTCAGCTTACTGGGTTGTTGAAATATTGGCTGAGTTCAGCATACCTTGTGCTTCTTTGGTTGTTGGTATTTTTATCTTGCAACCTGAGAATGTCAAGGCCTTGTTCTCCCTGATGATTATTAGAGTCATTGCGGCAGCAGGTTTGTGTTGAAGATGTTTGGCCACCCTTGTTGGTAGAAGAAAAACTTTACTGTGATCCTTATAGTTGTCCATATGATGCAGTGCCTGAAGTTGATAGTTTGAGGCAGATGCTCTTTCTGAGGTACATGTTGATTGTACATCCAGTTCTTTTGCATATAGTGAAAAGTTCCAAGTGGACGTCAGTCCCGTGGTTTTTACCTCTCGAATGAGGGGGTTTTCCACGTAAAATTTCGGTGTTCTCTTTAGTTTAACTTTATGCTGCTTGTGTTTACCTTTGCATGCGTGTTTAATAATTTGATTTTCCATAACATACATATTAGTGAGTTTTAATAACGAATTTGATAAAATTTTAACATTCTTTTGGACTCTTATGATCTTTTCTTTTAGCAATTTCTGGATACTTGTTTTCGAAGGTGACTTTTATTCTTAGTCAGGTTTTTTAACAATTTCTGGGGTCGTCTTATTTGTCTAGATTGAAGTTTTACTACATATGATAATAACTTTTGATTGATTCAGGGCGACGCCCTCTTTGGCCGAGGTCCCTCCAGAGAGGGAAGGTGCGTTATTATGCAGATTTGTCTGCTCGATTTTTACACAAATCAATTTTTTTTTTTCTGAATAAGTGTCGGATCTTAATTTAATTAATTAATTGATATTATTCTTTTTTTTATATGGTTTTTATTTTTGGGTCTTAGATGAAGTGGTTTCATTTCATGCCTGCATTTGATTGTCATGGATATCTTGCTTTCAACTTTTTTAATGCGTAGAATTACGTTATTTCTTAGTTTGGTATTTATTCAAGATATTGGTTTAGGCATACTATATTGTACTGTTGTGGGCTGCTTAATTAATTAATTCTGCCGAGATGTTTTTTGAACGAAATATATTCAGTAATTAGAGAATAATAATTTCTCGGCAAAAATATCATTTCCGGATATTGTGGGTAAATACGTAACAAAAAAAATGATAAAAAAAAACTCGAATATTTATATATTTTTATTAAGACGAAAAATTGTGTTTAAAGAAACTAAAGTTGCCTATTTTTGAACTGAAGCTAAATAGAGAAACTAAAGTTGCTTTGTTCGACGTCTATTAGCCTGTAGTGAGTTATTTGACTGGTGAATGTGTTTCCCTTGCATCCCAAAGATCTGTAAGCTCAAGATGGAGGAGCGCTCGGATCTCATATTGGGTTCTGAGAGGAAGGTGGTTCGAATCCACCCAGGTCTCTAAACCTTCTCACTGTTTATTGGTATTTTATTTTATTCTATTTATTTGGAACTTAGGTACTTGTATAGGAGGGGGAAGGGGAAAGTCAATTTAACCCTAATTTGCAGATGAAAATAGATTGCATATGTTATTTCTGCCGAAATATTTCTTCAACTCAAAAAACTTTTTGTTCCATCAAAATAAAAAAAAATAAAAATGAAAATCTAACTACTTTTCGGTACAAGAAACTATAGGGGTTTATATCTGAGCTAATTTAATTAATCTAAAATAATTTAAATCAATTGAATTTAATTTAAAATCGATTAAAATGATTATTTAATTAAATTAATTTGAATAAAAAAATAGAAAGCTGTTAAATTAGTTTGGTTCTTGGTTTGCTCTTTAAAAATTGAACCAAATCAATAATTCAATTTTAATAGAATTAATAAAAAAAATATTTTTTCCCGTTTCTTGTATGCCGGAACATAATCAATTGTCATAAGTTTTTTTAGCTTGTTGCATTTGAAATTATGTTCAAACTTTTAAGGCCTTTATTCTCTTTCTTCTTATGTTTATTAAGATATATAAACACGAGATTTTACTCTATAAAAAATTAAAATCTCAATTTATATTTAAAAATTAAAATTTCAATTTGAAATTTAAAAATTTATTCAATTTTTAAATCTAAATATCAATATTTAATCAAATAAATTTTTTAAATTTTAATTAAATAAAATAATATAATTTCTTACTAGTACTCTTATTTTTTTTTTAAAAGTCTAAATTGATATACATTTTTTTTTCTAAGTAATTCATCTACCATGCTCTTGTCTTGATTTGATCTTTTAAATATCTCCAAATGTTGTCCATATTGTTATTAGATTCCTACAGTTACTTGACATTTTTTAAAGATATATAATTATTTTAAATTTGCATATATTGATTATGATGTATAACAATATGATAAAGATACGTACACCCACTGGAGCTGGGTTCACCAGAGAACCCGAGCTGGGTTCTCACGGTGGGAATCCGTACTGGGTTCTCACCAGAGAAATTTTGATTTTTTGCTTTTTGGATGGATGGATTTGGTGAAATGCTTGAGTTTTCCTGGGATTTGATTGTTGAATGTGCTTGAATGCTTGAATTTTGCTGGGATTTGGTTGTTGAATATGCTTGAATGCTTGAGTTTTGTTGGGATTTGTTCTGTAGGAAATAGATTTAGTGAGAAGGGTAAATTTGTAATTTTACTGTTTAAACCAATTTTGATGTAAAAATGGATGCCGATTCATGGGTGTACGTATCACTATCCATAACAATATCATAAGTAGGTCTTTATTTATTACACGTGCACAACTAACTCTGGGTTGAGCAGCAACATGAGAGAATGAAGATTTCTTTTATTGATAAAAAAGAAAGGAGAAAAAGACTATTCTCTTTGGTGGTTGTGATTTTTGTTTTTATGTGAACTTTTTTAGAAAAATGTATTTGTTTTTTTTTTTTTCCAAAGGAAAGGTATAATTGTATATTTTACCCAATTAACTCATGCTTTTATTTTTGTATAATTGAAATTTATGAAAGGAAGAGTAGTATAATAAAATCCCTAAAAATAATTTTTTTTGGACAAACTTGATCAATTCAATCTGAACTAATCCAATCCAATGATAGTTGGATTGGTTTGGTTGCAATATATTATTATTAACTAAATTGAATTAGTTTAACATTTTTTCAATTTAATTAAATTGGATTAGATAGAAAAATAATTAAAAACTAATCCATTCTAACTGTGAACACCCTACAAGAAACTAATAAAAGCTAAAACATGGCATGCCTTCATTTTGTTAAGGCCTCTTATCGTATTTATTATTTTATTAATTTATAATTTATTTTTATCAATTGATTATGATATTTAAAAATATTTATTTATAAATTAATTTTAATATATTAAATAATAAAATATTAATTATTAATTTTTTAATGGTCAAATTAAATAAAAATTTAACAATTTAAATAACCTTAACATATTTTAGGGAGTACTTAACAAAAGCCCTAAACCATATTTTACTCATAACCCGCGAAAATAAGAAATCCCCAGTTTATCAGCTTCAGCTTGAGTCAGCCATTGAGCTTGGCATTGCAGTACAGAAATTTGCTTCTTTGGAAGTATGACTGATCAGAACTTGTCAATCCCTAAGCCTTTTTTTTTTTAATGGATAATAACTTGAGAACTTCAAACCTATCTAATTTTATACGTATTTACAAATTGATTCAGTTTTAGATAGTAAATTTCTATATTTAGGTTGTGTTTGGTGGCCTAGTTTCCCTGGAGAGGAGGACAAATTTTAATTGGTTCGCGCAACAATTTGGGCACAAAAATGAAGAATAAAATAAAACAATATTTTATGCAATGACAAGTTATAATGATATTTATCTTGAGAAAAATAGAGTTTTGATTGAATTAGTATTTATTAATTTAAAATTTTATATTATTAAATCATTAACTTTTTAATACTCCAAAAAACAAAAAGTGTTTTCGGGACAAAAATCTGAAAAAGTCATCTTTAAGAGACAAAATGAGTAAAAATATTGGGCAGTGTAACAAGTAGTTATCGAACAAAAATAACTTACTACATCTAACACTTTCATGTCTCCAAAAAAAAGTTTAGTCAAGCCAACTTTTTTTAGCTTGGCTTCCTGGGAGAAACTTTCTTGGAAAAGGTTATAACCAAACATGGGCCTAATAGTGGCTAACATCGCCTATTGAAATTGTTACACCAATATTAGAGGGATTTGAACCTGCACTCAAATGCCAATTCTTGAGGCTTTTTTTTTTTTTTTTCAACATTATGCATGTAAAAGAAAACTCTAAAGAAGTCTCAGCTCTTAGAAGCGTCATACTGCACTTTTTGATAAGGCCAAGTAAGCGTGCCACCAGAGGGATATCCAGTGGCGGGTAATGACAAGGCAGCTTTGGTAACCTTAGGTGAAGCAATTATAAGTTAGACATGGGCTTGGCTACATGAGGGTTCATGAGTGTCTTGTCTCCCAAGTAACTTTTCGTCGTTCATAATCTTGTTCTTCAATTCCTGCAAGGCAACAACGATTTTCATATCTATTTTTGCATACTTTAAGGATGCAACTGTTAAAGTAGCATCAGATTGAATTCTTCAGAAGATACATTATCAAACGTTGTTGCTGTTGACTTGTTTTTTTTTCTGTGAAAACTTCCCTATATTTTTTGTTGAGAAGACTCAATGTAGTTTGTTTTGGGGAATCTTCTAAGGATTTAGGGTTGAGATACGAGGAAAAGATAAAATAAAATAAAAATAAAAAAGAAGAAGAAGAAAGTTTCTACGGATGATTATATTTAAAAGAAAATAAAAAATTTTCAAAGTTCATTAAGGGTTTAGAGAATCCTTATTTTCTGATGTGGTGACGAATTCTAGAAAGAAAGATGAGATCTTGATTGTTTAGCAAGTACAAACACTACTGATGTAGCCAAGATTAATGGTCCTAAGCTCCAAATCAAATCAAATCAGAAGAACTAATAGTTGCCGAATATGTCGACAAAATTTAAAATTCTTACATATTTTCACAGTTTCACTTCAATTAGAGATTGAATTAAATTTACTCAATAGTAAAAAATAAGTGAAGTTATTCAACAAAATATATGTAGTAATATCTTTCTATGCGACATCTAATAATGGGTAGACTACATAATAGAGATAACCATCTCTTTTTCTGATCAAACCCTTCCTTTACAAAAGTGAATTTTAGTGAAATTAAAAAGGCTAATAAGTTTATTAAATATTTATATAACCTAAGGGATTGGAGCTTGGTTGATAAGGACGTCTTTGAACAAGTTTTGGATGCTAGTTGTCTTGACAACTTTCTGTCTTTTCTTATGCCATAATTGTAAATATATAATATTGTATAATATTATGTAACTCTTTATGTGGTCCACTGGTGACCATACTGTCGCTTGGACAGCAGATGGATTGTATTCATTTTCGAGATTCGACCCTTCTACAACACAATAGATATTAACACTTACCTAATTATTTTTTATTGTAAAAAAAATATTGTATAATATTATATGTTATTTTCATACATATAATATGTTATTAGATGTATATACATAAAAAAAAAAAGAAAAAGGTTAAATACTAAATTTAATCTTCAAACTTTTAATTTTAAACAATTTTAGTCCCTAAGTTATTTTTTACATTTTTTCATACCTCAACTATATATGAAAAGTACATTTTTTTACTCATTCATTGGTTTTATCTGTTAAACTTATATAAATGACATTTTTTTTTACTCCATAAACTTTTATTTTATGTGCATTTAAGTCATTAAAAGAAAATTAAAAAATACCAGCTGTACTTTGAAGAACACGCATTTAGCATTTCCCATAGAGAGATAAATCATGCTCTTAGCATGTTGCTGAGCAGCAGCGGCTGATCTGCATGCATATTTCTAATGCCAAGAAGATTTAATTTCATTTCACTTAGTAACTCAACACGATTCTTTGTAGTTTCATTTTTCCTTGGATGGGGACATTAATTGGCACATATATTTGAACTCTATATATGTTTCCCAAACAAAACCCACTTATATATGTAAATTATTTTTATAGAAAGAAGTAAAAATTAAAAGGTTCTTACATTTTAAACATTATGATTTTTTTATGAAATTGTTTAAATATATTTAATAAATTTTATTTTTATGTTAATTTATTAAGAATATTCGAGTATTTTCATTATTATTTTTGATATTTTAATTACTAGAACATCTTGATTTTCCTCAATCTTTTTCTGTAAAGGTGATGATGTTTTTGGACTGCCTTGTATGCATTTGGAGATTAATGCATTTTATCCAATTAAGGTAGACTATCAACACCTCAGATAAAAAAGTTTATAGATAATTATTTCCTCATTAGCTATCCATTTAAGCACTTAGACAACATAAAGCAAGGGAGGGGTTGAGAGAGTTTTTTTTCCCTTTTTTTTCCATACAGTTTACATGTAAGCGGAGAAAATATTTTCTATTATAGGAATAAGTTGAGAAAAGATAATAAGGGTTTGTTTAGTTACAGTTTCAAAAACAGATATCAGCTAATTAAAAATATTAAATAATTTCAATTATAAACAATAATTATTAATTATCAAATATTTTTTATCACATATCAATTTTTTCTAAAACACTAATCCAAACACCCCAAATGTATCAGCATTTTAAATCTTTGCAAATATTTATTTAGGAGGATTAAGTTATAGGATTTTTCTTATTAGACTTGTTATTGCAATTAATGCATGTTTTTAATATTAAATTGTGTAGAAAAATACTCCAAAAGATAGGCACAATTGCGCAACCAATATCACATTAACTACCCTTTTTAATTAAATAGTTAATTAAATATAAAAAATATATTAATTATACTCTTAAATTCGAAACGTCCTAAGTAATAAGCTAATAAGTTTATGCTTTCAATATTTTAGGTTTAACTTTTGAGTTCGGTAACGAAGAACT